TATTGAGGTAGTAGAGAGATGCTTCAGACCTCAGAGCAAGAGTCATGTTGTTGGATTTGGTGGCGGGATTACCAGTAAAGATTTGAAAGGAGGTAGCTCTGCAAAAGCTGCATTGTTAGAACAACTAAATGTGAGTCGAAAAGAAAAGGCTGTACTGTTAGAAGAACTGAATACGAGTCGAAAAGAAAATGAATCAATGAAAAGACGCATGGATAACATAGAGAAGAGATGTGAAATATTTGAAAGTGCAATCTTTAGAGATCCTTCATCACCACCATCATCAAGTGAACAAAATACTGGTTGAATCATTTTACAGGTTAGTTATCTTCTTAATGTGAAACGAAGTATTTTTCAGTTTAGTAAGCTTGTTAACATGTATAAGCTGATCATATCATATTGCCATTGTTGAACAACATTGTTTCCAATAACTGTAATACAAGGGACAACCTTCTGTGGATCTATGTAGCTCATGTAAGGGTATATCACATGAAAAGTGCACATAGACAGCAACATTTTCAGATTTTAGGACTCATCAACCAATTAGAAAGAATTCACAAAGTTTTGAATGGCTTCGAAAACATTCCCATTGTAGATCACAGTAACTACTAAACTCCTTAGTTTTCATATTAAAGTAGGTTTTACATTTATTAAGAGAGGAGCATTTCTAATACATGTTGAAGTACTTGCACTTCGGAAACTCGCCTTGCTTGAACATTTTTTCTATTTTTCCCATTGTCTTTGTCCCTTCGAAGTTCGAATACTTATCAAAGTCCAATTAAAGAAGATGAACTAGTCCCTGGAAATTACAAATCATTCCACACTGGACAAAGATGCATTGGATATGAATACAAAAATAAAGCGAATAGAGAAGTACATTATGAGAAGTTACAGGAAACAACTTCTACATTTATGCACCAGATTTTTTTATTTACCAGACCTGAATTTATGTAGAAGTAAGCCCACCCACCCAAGTTAGCACACTGGGAAAGTATTATCCAAATTTTTTACTATACAAGTCATCATTTCCTCTTTCAATGTTCTTGCATCGATTAATTGTTTCTCTTTTTAGAATGGTAAGGTATATATACGGTCAAAAGTATTTACATGTCAAATGCTGATTTTTCTTGTGAAACAAAGTATTTTCTTACAATCTAGATTTTTTTATGAGCAAATAATTATACAATCATTATTTATGTCTCACCAACAAACCAATTGAACTATTTAATTAACTAATGCAAGCTTTTATCCCTTGCAACAAATGATCAAGAATATGAAGTCGCGAAGGATTTTCAAGTTTGGAGTGACTTGAAAAATAATTGAAGAAGTTAGCAGATGAACCAAGTTGAAGTGCAAGAATTTTATTAAACCTACAATACTTATTATGTAGGCTATTTGCTTAAAAATACTAATTACGATCTCTACATATATATTCTAGACTCTTAGTTTTCTTTTTGTAGGATTTTTAAAACCTCTATGTTTTATGTAATTAACTACGTACCATGTTTATATATATTATCAACCATGCATTATATTTAATTATATATGCATATTATTGACTCTATTTTATAAATTACGAAATTTTGTACTATTACATATATGAAATAATGATTTTTAATTATCAATCATAAGGGACAAAACGTATAACTAATTTTCATTTAATAATATATTTTTTTAAAATATCAATAAAAATTAACGAAAGGATTCCGGTCTCTAAAAGATCCTATAATATCTCTTTCTAAAGTTATCTGCGACCAAAATAAAAATTAACGAAGGGAAAATGTTATCGCAAAAGGAGATCTAACGACCAATTTTTATGCCGTCACTAAAGATTTCTTAACGACCGGACTAGAATTTGGTCGTCTACTTTTAACGTCGGAGCTACTAACGACGGGAGACGACCAATTTCTTTCCGGTCGTAAGTGACTAATAACGACTGGATTTACACTTTTAGCGACCTAATTTTCTTTCGTTAAAGACCCATTTTCTTGTAGTGACCTGTTCCCCCGTCCAGCAAGCTTTAATCCTCTTTCTCTGTAGTTGAAGTTATTGTTTCCTCTTTCCCTGTCACTTTGGGTAGAGAATACTATGTTATGATTTTGTTGTAGCACATTTTCTTCATCTTCCCTTATATCAAAATTCCTGAGAGCATTAACAAATTGATTAAGGGTGGATATGGTGTCTTACCTAATATGACAATCCTGAAGGTATTGTAATTGAGATCTACACCTCTAGCAAACTTAATTACTTTGTTATTTTCATCCATAAGTTTGTGAATGGTTGCAAAACCATCAGATATGCCTTTGAATTCCTTGATGTATTCATCAATCTTTTTGGTTCCTAGCCTAACACTGAACAATTGTTGTTTGAGCTGAAACTTCTTATCTTTGTTGCTCGAAAATAAACTTCTTCCAAGCATTCACACATGTCTTTGGCAGTTGAGTAACCAATAATCAAATACATGTTTTCTTCCATCAATGTGACTGAGATCCAACTCCTTAGCATTACATCTTTCTCCTCCTGATCATCAATGATGTCACTATCTTCTACATCCTTCTCAAGTGCGGCAACTTTTCAGTAGTTTGTCCAGTGAAACAACTATTTTTAGTTGGTTCATCCTCTATGATGAGATAAGTTAGCCCCATCACTTGGTTCAATTGAGATATTTGTGTCCTCTATATGAGGTAGTTTGCTGGCTTAACTTTAATCGAGCAAGCGACAATGGGTTGGTGAAGCGATGAGGTAGACATAGTGTTGGTAGTGGGGGCCATTGCGATTGAACGTGTGATTTATATTTTTTTGATCAATACTCAAAGAGCGAAATAGCTTATGTGCTCTGATACCATGTAGAATTCTCACATCTAGGATTAGAGAAATAAAAAATTATATTGATAATTAAAATTATTGAGTACATACTCATTATATAGGAAGAATTGTAGAGTCCTAAGCTAGAGAGTTCTACTACAATAACTATTACTTCTATAATAATAATAATGCAATTATAAATAATTTAATTCTAGTTAGAGTCCTACGATATAAGTAGCCTAGTCCTAGTGTGACTCTAACTCTGTTGCATATGTTGATTGGATTAGGTTGTTAAACCTATTCCATATCTTCAGTTTCCTTTATCTTCAACAATTAGTAGCTAAGAAAATTATTTTTTCAATTAATGACAAATGGTTAGTCTTGTCCACTCAATATAATGATGAACTTATTTTATTATTAAACATAGGGGTGCACAAAATCGAACTGAAAATCGAATCAAACTGCAAATCGAAAAAACCCAACTAGTGGTTTGGTATTGAAAAAAAAATCCGACTATATTTGGGTTGGTTTGGTTTCAACCAAAAAAAACCAACCCGAGACCAAATGAACCCGACATTATATATATAATTTTAAAATTTTATTTTATACGTAAAAATATTTACTTTGATATAATTTTTAAATATTTCTTATACTTTTTCATAATTTTTATCTTTTAATATATTATTTCATGTTTGAAAGTTAGAATTGTTAATGGTCTAATAAATATTATAGTCCATAGATGTTGGTGATTATAATAAAGCTTAAATCAAAATCAAATTAATACTAATGCAAAAAGAAAATCAATTCAACACTAAGAATGACAATAATATTGAATATTTGTTCTTTAGTTTTACATAGGTTTAGACAATTAAAATACATAATCTAATTTTAAGTTCCTTTAATATTTGGTCATGTAACTAATACTTATTAAACTTATTTTAGCATGATTTAGTACTTTTAAATTATGATCATTGTCGTTATTACTTATTAATTTGCAATATTTGTTTTATGCGATTTCATTATTATTATTATTTTGTTGGATATTTTAGTGTCATTAATCATATCATATTTTGTGAGATCCAATGTAGATCCAACTTTCGATTCACTCGTGGGATCTGGGCGGTCCGGGGGGGACCACCACGTCTTTTTTGAGAAAAGAGGTCAAGGGGCTAAGTGACTCTCGAAAGTGTTATTTTCTTAAAAAACACCTTAGATAGTTGTATTTTGGTATGACTAAAGAAATATTTGAAATACAAGTAAATTATATGTTTGTATGAATATTTTACCGGAAAAATCTGAAAAAACCCGAAAATTAAAAAAATCCAAAAAAATCTGTTGAAAAACCCGAGTTTTTATAAATTCAAAAATTCGACACAAATGATTTGATTTGATATTTGAAATGCTTGAACCAACCCGACTATGTGCACTCCTAAATTTAAACATTGATTCGAATGAAGTAGTAATAATTTTGATAAAAAATAGTGAATTTGGTGAATATAAATGGTAAATTTAAAATTAGTTTGAAATAAAAATAAATTTTATATTGGTGAGAATAATCGTTATATGAGATATAAATAATTAAGAGGTAATGATATGAATAAATTTTTTTATTTACATATGAAACAAATGACTCGTAAATATATATAAATTAAATGTGAGTTTTTTTTTTACAAAAGATAAACTTGTGAGTCAATTTTTATATTTAAAAAATCACAAATCATGATTTTTGAAGAATTTGAGATTTGATCCCATAATATGAAATTATGAAATGAATCAGCGTGAAATCGTATATCCCAATGCTAATTTCAAGTCAGGATCAAATGCTTACTAATTTAATTATGAATTTAGTATATTTACAAAATGATACAAGTACCAAATATACATTAAAGCCGATCAAACCGACCAATACCCCCAACTAAAAGCCGATAAAAATGGGTACAAAGTACACCAGCATTAGCACTTTTCCGTAATTATCTCATTTAAAAATTCATTGTTTAGCGGGTCCCATTAGGTTGAAAATTTGACAGCGTTATCAAAGTTGCTGGTTTTTGCTTTTCTTGGATAAAGTAATCAATGCTACAAAACAATACTCTCCGATATTTGCACCAAATGGAGTATTTGATTTTCAATTTTAAAATAAAAGAAAATTTTTAAAAGTTTTTGTTAGACAAACACATAAAATTGTATTTTCAGATGAGATATTTTTAAAGTAAAAGCAAAAGAGAAGTGGAGGTATCAGCTGAGCTGAGGATGGATAGAGCAACACCTGTACGGAGCTCCCATACCACCACCGCCGATCTGCTCACCTGGTCGGAGGTTCCACCGTCGTCCAACTCTTCCGCTGTCGCTGCCTCCGCCAGTGCTTCTCGTTCACATCAGGCGAGTCGTCATTTGGTCATTTTTATTTATTGCGCCATTTGGGGGTTTTGCTTATCTTTTTGCTCCTTTCGTTGTTGGCAGCCTTCTGATGGAATTAGTAAGGCTGTGTTTGGTGGTCAGGTAACTGATGAAGAAGCTGATAGCTTGAACAAACGGTAAGACAGACAGACACACAAGTGATTTAATTCGTTTTTAGTCTCTTTGTTCTAGCATGCTTAATTTTTAGAAGTTCACATCTTTGCTCGACAGTATCATGTTTCTCCTGGATCTGAATGATGCATTTTTATTATATTATTTTTGCTGATATTCATCTGCTCATGCATGTCTTTCCTGATCTATATCTAATGCTTTGTTTAAACTGCAAGTTTGTTTAATGTGATTCCAAATCTCTTATGCTATCAAAATGAGCTTTATTTCTTTGGGAAGTTGCCGTAATTACTGAAACTCGGTAGGCGACGGGCCAATGAGCCCAATTGCTAACAACATTGTCTTCAGCATCATTGGTTTAATCTAAGTAGTGTTTGGCCATAGGATTTGGTACCCCAATTTTTGAAGTCTTTGAATTGAAATCAACCTTTGTTTATGAAATCTATAAAAAAAAATTAACTTCAATTTCAAATTCCAAATTCTTCCTAAAGTAGGGATTTCAAATTCTAAGTTGTGATTTAATTTTTTTTCAAATATAAAACTTGACCCATAAGTTTATATTCTAAAAAAAAAGATACATATATAATTCTAAATCTTGCAAAAAAGAAAAACCATAGTGGATGTGAAAAAATTGTTTGTACCATATGAGGGGATTATTGGTAACACCCAAATTATACCCCGAAAAGAAGTATAAAGCAGTTGTTGTTCAAATATAGAACCTAACCATGGTTAGAGGGTCAATCCCATGAGGAACATGGTTTGCACCTAGATCAATTGTGGTTATTTACTCTTTTAGTTGTATTATTTCCAAAAGGGGGAGTTGTGTAACAATCAATCTTTACGTATTCAAAAGTAAACAAGTAACAAAGTATCAATGTAACGCGTTTTTAATTAATGAGAGATGACTGGGGTTTTGTGATCCCCATGAGTTCACAACACAGTAAGACCATATATTAGTAACCTCTTCTAGTGCGTAGCCAGCGTAGCATGCAAGATTGTAAGTTAAGTTCACCTAAGTGGTTGGTCCCCCACCACGCAACTTGGTCCGTCTACCAGTGTTTGCTTTACTAACACTTACTTTTGATCCAAAATTAACTATTCATGCACAAGGTCAAGCTATTAGATGAGAGTTGATAGCTTCAAATCTCCGTTGTAAATCTTTTTTCCCATTCGTTACCCCTTAGGTCCAACAAGTAAGAATAAGACGAATTTTAACGTTGCATCCGTTAATCACCCAGTTGAATTTTCATCTCTCTCTCGTCACTCATCTGCCATTGGTAAAATCTTCCGACTACAAAATTTATTTGGTAGCATCCTCACTCCTCAGTGATTAACTTCTTCATTAAGGCTTCCTAAATAACTTTTGCGTCTTTGCAACTATAATATACATCTAATAGTTTGTTAGAAATAGTTTATTATATGATATGGCGACATACTTTATTGGCGTATTGCCATAAACTCAGACTTTTATTATCAACATATGCACCAGGTTGATAATGTAACAATGCATGTGCAACACCATGAACATCAAACAGGGAAAAAATCCATTCTTGCCACCTTTTGAAGTTCTGATTAGTAAATATTTCAATATTTGACACGTCCGAAAATGGTAAGGGCATATGATAGGACAACTGGAACTGGAGCAGTGGGGTAGCATCGACATTGGCAGTATCAGGAATAGTTTCTGTTCATATGGGTAATAACAAGTCGATATTGGATCTACGCACTAAAAGAGAGTGCTTGAACTGCTACTAAATTGTGAGGATGAATTATTAACTCTTAATGAATTCATAGTCCTTAAGGATAGTGTATTTATAGCAGTATATACTTGAAGATTTCACCTATATGAGAAGTTGAGTTGGGGTGCTCGCCTGCTCCTACTAGACTTTGGCTTAGTCTGTAGAGCTCTCATGAATAATGATGCACACGCATGACCTATTGGCATGAAACCGCGATGAACAACAAAATATGGGGGTCAAATCTCTAACTTATTATAAGAATCATGGGTTCATAGAAATTCTCTATTTCACCCGTAATTCTTTAAGTTAAGTTTTATTGGTCTAAGTTTGGTTCATAGTCCAAAAGACACCAAACTTGTTGCATTTTGATCATACATACTAAACCAACAAATCTCATCATCTTTTTCTTAAAATCTTTTGAAATATGTGGGGAATTGTTAGCAATATAATAATTATTTCAAAAGATTTATTTGGACATCGAGTTAGTTTGGGCCAAAATGAGACATTTTTCATGTGACCCTAACTTGATGACCAAGTATTGAAAGGGTTACATGCAAAATGTCTTACTTTGACCCATATTAACTTGATGTCCAAATAAATCTTTTGAAATAACTATTATATTGCTAGCATTTATTTATTTAAAAGAACATGAAATTATGTGATTTATTAAGTTGACGCCTTAGGATATTCGGACACTTTGTTTATGAATTATGGTTTGCCCATTTGGTAATATTGTATAAGAGTTGGGGGAGTTTTGATAGTTTTTCACAAGTTACGGGGTTTTCATGTTTATGTGAAAAAATAAAACTTAAGAAAACAAAGTTACATGACCAAATAAAATTTCAACTCCAAATCAATTTGATTTCAAATGGTCACACACATAGAGTTAACAAAGTGGTCACCACACATGGAGTTGAGTTGCTTGTTTGTGATACATGCCATTTATTGGCAGACATTTCAATTTATTCTTCTGCTGTTGATATCTGGACTCTGGTACATGTGTTTTAAAACTGGACATCTGAAGTATGTTGACTGGAAGTGAAAAAACTTCAAGTATTTCACTAACAAGTGAGAAGTATACTTGGCAAAATTTTAGGAAAATAAAAGTCTATGATGAACAGTTTTTAATGTCCTTAAGATCATATTACCAGAATCTGGAAATTCAGACATCATCAGGATTAAATTGGTGAAAGTTACAGCTTCATACTGGTTTCTGTTTGCTTTAAAAAGCCAAAATTATCATTCAATTTTATTAATACCCTCATCTTTGGCCTACTTGAAATAGGTTGTATAAGATTATATTACCAGAATCTGGAAATGCAGACGTCGTCAGGATTTAATTGGTGAAAATTACAGCTTCATACTGGTCTCTGTTTGCTTTAAAAAGCCAAAATTACTCAATTCTATTAATGCCCTCATCTTTGGCTTACTTGAAATAGGTTGTATTCATTTTTGCACTTTGTTTATGCTATTTTGGAGATTAGTAATTGTTTATGATATTTTGGAAACTAATATTGTTTAAGAATATGACTTAAATAAGTAGCAAAAGGCTGCCAAGAATTAAATGGAGGACAAAACGCTAAGTTGTTTGTCCTTGTTATGCACCATGATGTGATATCTATCTAGCATTTTCAATCTCCTCTGTTATCTCTTTACCGATCAATGATTTTGTTCAGTTAGGCGTGCGGAGATGAATGGCACTTCTAGGTTGACATTTAATTTTGTGTTAGTTTCTTTTCTCCCACCTCTTCAGACTAGTGGAAACAAAATCTGGATTGTGTTTAATGTTTTTGTCTTAACTCGTAATTAATTGAACCAAGGAAACTGATATAAGAGAGGAGGTCCTGTTTGGAAAAGAAATAAAAAATCCAGTGACTCGAGAACAACTTTGAAGTCATCTACTGTGATCCTCTTTTTTTTTGATAACCGAGAAATCCGTCTGTGACCCGCTGCCCTTTGGACCAATCACAGCCTTCTAAACTCGGTGGATAATGGGCCCGCCCCTCTACCCTTCTCCACTTAATTAACGGACTTCGCTTTGCATGGTGTGGGGCTTGAACCTACATCTACTGTGATCCTTTGGACTAAGTCTTGTTGAAACTTGTCTTCAGCAAACCTTGTTCAGGGTATAAACTAAGGGAGATCAGTGGCAGCAATATATTTTCTGATCATGATGAAGATGGTACATCAGAATCTGGAACTGATGATGGTAATTTTACTAACAGGACATCAGTGCGCATTGTTCAGGTATTTTTCTCCCCCTGTTTTTAAAGAAAAATGATAAACAGTGTGAGCATGCTGCCTAATTTGGAAACCGGTGAATGGAGATTTAATCAAAATACTTGTGGTGCATTGTAGCAAGCAGCAAATGGAATAAGCCAAATTTCATTCAGTACTGAAGAAAACATTTCCCCAAAGAAGCCTATCACTCTGACCGAAGTGGCAAAGCAACGTGAGTTGAGTGGAAATTTAGAAAGTGAGTTAGATAGCAAAGTCAAGAAGCAGCTATCAGATGCAAAGACCAAGGAGCTTAGTGGAAATGATATCTTTGGCCCTCCTGAAGAAGTTCCTCCTAGATCCCTGGCTGCTGCACGTTCCATGGAGTCGAAAGAAAGCAAAGACATGGGTGAACCTGCTCCACGAACTGTTCGCACATCTGTTAGAGTTTCTAATGTGAGTTGCCTTCATATTTCTTTGAAACAAATGATGAAGAGTTGAGACAATGTTGATATTTTTAATATGACGAAATTCCTCAGGTGGCTTTAAGTTGAGAGAAGTAAAGGTTAATATCCAGTAAGATGTTTTTAAACCTACTCTGGAAGTTACAAGAACTGGTCAATAACTTGGATTTAGTGCTTCAGGTGCCTTAAGAATTAAAAGAACAAAAAGGGTTGTCATCTGATAAGACTCATTTTTACTATGGAACCAGAAGAAATCGATGACTCAAGTGGTCTATTTTCTCCCTTGTCTGATGCTGTCTAAGATTGATGTTTATTGCATAATTGTTTTAAGATTCTCTTAGCTGTCTACGATTGATGTTTATTGCTTAATTTTCTTAATTTTGGCTTCTACTATTATTGGCTCTCATCTTTGCCCCATTTTGTAGCCTGCTGGTGGTCAAAGCAGTATCTTGTTTGGTGATGAACCTGTTGTCAAGACAACAAAGAAAATACATAACCAGAAGTTTGCAGAATTGACAGGCAATGACATTTTCAAGGGAGATATTCCTCCTGGATCGGCGGAGAAGACACTGAGCTGTGCTAAGCTGAAAGAAATGAGTGGTAATGATATATTTTCTGATGGAAAAATTGAATCCAGGGACCACTTTGGCGGTGTGCGCAAACCACCTGGTGGAGAAAGCACTATCAGATTAGTGTAATGTCATCAAATGGCTTTTATATTGACTTGTAGTGCCCACATTGCAGTTGCTTTCTGACTAGTTAGGACGTCTGGCATTTAGGATTGTAAAATTTGATGTGTCAATACTCTTAATTGGCGACAAAAATGCAGTGTGTTTCTCTGCTGAACTGTTGTAGGAGCTTATAGATTAGCAATTACCCATTCTATCTGCCACAGTTGGTTTGATCAGTTGATCTATGATGGGTCCTGTCTGATATTGAATTGAGTCATCCAGTACTAAGATCAGTCTGCCAGAACAGTAAAAGAACCACGGCCAACCCAAGTGACACTGGACCATAATGTTTAATATAAAATAACACAAATATAAATTGGAAGTTGAAGAGTCACAACTGTGTTTCAGTGTTGCTTTCAGCTATATGTTGATGAGCTCCTTTTAGTGTAAGCCTTGTTAGAAATAAGTATCTTTGCCTAATTTCTTGTCAATGCGTGGTTCACCTTGTCTCATCCATATTTCAATGCATTTACAAGAGGTTGCAGTTAAGAAATTTGCATTCTTTGCCTTATTTGTTGCCAATGCCATATTAGGAAGTGCAGTTTTGGAAGCCAATTCTAGCGATCGACTAGCACATGGTGTTGATACATACATTTGTACAAGAGTGACAATCAACTAGTTTGGATTTATGTTCGATAAATATATGACGGAGTTATATTTCTGCTAAGGATATCGATGAAAGTTTATTACAGCAACAGAAAGAAAGATATGCAAGTGATGTTCTGCTAAGGATATCGATGTATTGAATGTAAATTGTAAAGAAAAGGTTGTTCAATTTTATTTTTTTTAATTTTGTTTCCAAATTATTGAAATGTTACTTTCTTTAAAAAGTAATTAACTAAATAGTTTTAAAACTATTAAATTATAACTCACAATATTTTGTTAATAAGTATTTTTGTTATATGCCACATGTCTTCTGCCAGGGCAACTTATTTTTATCTCAGAAATGCAAAAATGGGACACAAGAGAGAGAGATCGATTCCACTGGGGATCGAACCCAGAATCTCTGGTTTCGTAGACCAGCGCCTTATCCATTGGGCCATGGAATCCTTGCTGTTGTCTTCTTTGTTTTTAAAAAAAAAAAAGAAGAAAAAAGGAGGAAGACGAAATAAACAAATAGCACTTAGCAGTCCCAATATGGGAAGGCTATTTATGTTTCTGCTTCAAAACAACTAGGAATAATCATGATTTCATCTTTTTTTGTGTGGACAAGTTGAGATAATGATAAATTATCTATCCAATATTGGCCTCTGTATCTAGAAAAAAGAATGTAGGTACTTTTAATCCTTTTTGTGTATCATAAAAAAAAACAACAATTATGGTAATCTTAGGATATGAGCTACTATTATAGTATACTTGTTTTCTTCATTTTCATAGCTGTCCAACTTTCCATGAAAAAGACTTGATCATCCAAATGTCCAGCCTGATAAATTTCTATATTAGTTGTGTACTTTTATATTATTCTTGTTGCAGCTCCAGTGTAGTCCCTCTGGCATGAACTTTCTTTCTCTGATCAGTAGAAGATAGTAGTATTATAGTTTGCCAGCATTGAGAAAAGTATATACAACTAGCACAATTACATATTTTGTAATGTGCTAAACAAAATCAAGAATAGCTTCTACGTTAATCACTAATTGAAGACATGCTGCACCAAAAAGAAAGTAAGGACATACATCTATCTTTAATTTCAAATACAGATTCACTATTGCTCTAAAAAATCGTAGCGGCTCTTTCCTTCCAAATAGACCATCAAATAGCTGAAGGGATCGAGTTCAAGACATTAGCAGAAGCTTTTCTCCAACTCTAGGCTGCAAATCCAGAGTTGGTATATATACCTGGACATATATATATAGTCCAAATGAGGTGTAAAATGTTGAAAAAAAGATTTCATAGCTGTGGCTTCAACTTCTTCTTTTGTTCGTTAGTGACTTACCTTAAATGTGTGAAGACGTTAGCTTAAACCTTTGTATTGTTCCTTTAATCTACGAGTTTCCACTATGTTGTCTGGCCTTTGGTACTGTGTCTCTCTTACGAACAAAGAAAGAATAAATAACAATTCTATCTTTGAGAAGTATTCAATAACGTCGCTCTTCTATTTTACGTTTTGATAATGTCTCTCAAATGTTTCCAAGTGCAACACACCACGTCAAAAAAGAACTCAATGGTTAAGCTGTTGCTGTTTTTGTCTCGATCGGTGTTTAGAGTTCATAATTTAGGCTTTCTTGCTCCAGGAAAAAAAATGTAAATATCTAAAACATGATTTTTCTGTTGTTACCTTATTTGAATTGAGACAAGAGACTCATGAGATAAGCAAAAACTGATTCAGATGCAATTAGCTGAGGCAACATTCAGGCAAAAAGTTGAAATATGTGTTTTGTTTTTGAATCTGATGATCGAAGACGAACAATATTTTATATGCAAGTATCATACCTTTTGGCATCAGGTATAATGCAATTTACTTTGACACATTAACCACTAAACATCGATCTGATTTGAATTCTTGAATAATTTACTTATATAGTTGTGTAAAGACTGAATGAAAGTAGTATAACGCTATGACGTGAACAAAGGAACTTGAATATCCATACCACTTGAACAATCTCTTCTCCTCCCTCTATCTCCTTGATTCGACAATTGAAATCTTCCATTGATAATTTTTACAGTGTTATTCCCAACAACCAAATTACAGATTTGCTTTACTCATCTTATGCTCATTGTCATTGCTTGCAAGATTTTTCTGCTGCAACAGTTGATGGTCTTCTCAGAATGAACTTCTTTTGAGAAGTCTCATCACCTTCATACTTCACGGATGATGAAGACCACCATCTTCGATCTATCTATCTAGTGGCGCTAGCTAAGATTCGTGAGCTATGGAAGGGATGGGGTTGGCTTCTCTCAAAAATTAATTCAACATACAATACAATACATTTGATTTAACATATTAAAATAAAAATGGTGTTATATGTGTATGTTTGTATGCTATAAATTTAAATGTTTTAGAATATGTACAAAATTTAAGTAGAACTTTTTTTGCTAGATTAAAAATCACCTATTTCGATAAGATAATAATTTTTTAGAAGACCCCTATATAGATATATGGTCCCATCAATATTATAAATTAATAATTCTTTAAAAGTACAAATATATCTTAAGACAATTTAGTGAAATATGATTTATTGTGTTTTTTTTTTTGTTAAAACTTAAATCTAGTTGAAGCTCATCTCTAACTTTTCTTATTGCATCAAAAAGTTTTGATGCTGTCTTTTCGAATTGCACTATAAAATTGTGAAGAGTTCTAGATGTGATAAGTGTTTCCTTACGCGTAACTGATTGCAAATGTATTGTATCATCTTCAACTTCATCATCAACTTTGTGTTTTTTTCCGATTGTAACCACAATTTCTTCTAAGTAATGGACCTCTAAACATGTATCACTTTCATCCGAATAATCCAAAAGGTTATTGACGTCAATATTTTTTGATAACCGGGACCATTAATTATGATCTTAAGATCATGAATGATGTTGTTACAAAACACTCTTTAAATTAATAAATAATAACTTATCAATTAAATAATACATCTACAAAATAATAATATTTCATGGTCCCACTTATATTAATTTGGTGAAGTTTTACTTTGTGTGTGTTTTCTTATTTAAATTAATAGTGTATCGTAAAAATAAATTACTTAATTTATTACAAATAAAATTGTTATTAATGGAAGAACATTTACAAAAATGACTCTTCACATGCCAATTTAGAAGAAATAATTATTCATAACTCACACCTCTTTAATTTCTACTCTTAGTAAATTTATTTCTCTTTTTATTTTCTTCTAATCATAAAATGATAATATTTTAAGTATTTGTCTTTTTATTATTCAATTTATTTATCGGGAGTAATTACTCATGGTCTACACCTCCTTAATATTTACTTTTATTAATATTTATAACCTCCATAATTTCCATGTTCATAACATCCAAACTTTAATTTGTAAGTTTATGATGTCTTATGGTATTCCTTTATTTCCCTATATAAATTCATATCTAGTTTTCTGAACATTCACATACAAGGTTATCCTTTCTCCTCTTCATCATATTGGTTTGTGAACGGACTACTATGAAATAAAAAAGAATTACATGGAGGTAAGAAATATTTTAATTTCAAGTCTTTCTTTTCATTTCCTATATTAATTTTTCTATATAAATCCATAGGTTTCTTCATGAAGATTCACATCCAATATTATCTTTTCTCTTATTCATCATATTGGTTTGTAATTTAATGACATATAACAAAAAGAGAAGTACATGAAGGTAAAAACGTTTCATTCTCAAGTCTTTATTTTTATTTTTATGTACTTTTTGACGGGTATTTGCCCTAACTTTCTTACCATACATAGGTTTTCCTTTTCCTAAAAGGAAAACATAATGTCTCTATATTTGGCTTGTCCTTTTCTTGTAGGAAAAAGTTTAAGACTTTATAAATAGAGGCTCGTTCCTTTTAACTTAATCAACATTTACAATGTAGTCCTAGGGGCATTGAGAGTTTTGGTTAGGGGAGAGAATTGTCGGACACAAGTTATCACTTGTGTGAACCTCTTTGTATTCCGAGTGAACTGGGTGACTATATTTTTTGCTTTCGTGGATTGCTCATCTCTTTGTGGACGTAGATCGATTGACTAAACCACGATAAATCTTTGTGTCTTTTGGTATATTTCTCGTTTGTCTTCTTACTCACGGTCTTTCGAGGTTTGCTTTGTTAGCTTCCGCATGACACCTGATTATTTTGATCCTAACAAGTGGTATCAGAGCTAGGTTGAGCCAGGTTCAGTGGTTTGATAATCGATGATTGAACCAAGTTAAAAATCAGGTGTTCATCTTGGCAGGTGTAGTTCTAACCGCAACTTATTTGACAATAATAAAGATTTTCATTGGAGAAATTATTTCAGAGATGTTCTCTGTGTCGAGAGATAGATTTGATGTAGGAGGCTTTGGAGAGGATATGGAAGCCGTTGAATATTATGTGAAAAGGGTGGAGCAAATTTATTTTGTCAAAAATTCAGGCCAAGGGAGAGATTTGTTTGGTATTTGCCCTGAGTTTTTTTTTTATTTTTTTATCATAAATAGATTTTCCTTTATCTAAAAGGAAAACATAATGTCTCCATATTTGGCTAGTCATTTTCT